ATATGTCACCAAAGAGTTTTAGCATATTCTAATATATTATTCTACCAGTAGTCGCTCCCCCTGTCGTCGTGCCTTGTCTTGCGGTGTTGTTGTTATTGCTGCTGTTGCTTTTGCTGCTGCTGTTGTCATAGTTGATGCTGCTCCAGCTCCTGCTGTTGTAGTGGTAGCAGCTGCATCAGCAAACGTTATAACCTCTAATTAGTCTAAACCCCTATACCCTAAAACCCCTAAACCCCTTATAAACCCTAAATCCCTAATCCCTATACATCCCTAAACCCTAATAAATCCCTAAATCCCTAAACCCTGAAGCCCTACAGCCTGGCACCGTTGGAGTTGACAACAGGCCCCGAACATCTGGTTTAGGATTTAGGGTTTATAGGGCTTATAATAGGGTTTTAGGGTTGTTTAGAGGTTGAGGGTTTAGGGTTTATAGGGTTTAGGCAAACCCTCAAGCCTAAACTTTATTTTAAAGGCTCCGTTGTTTTGGGACCCGGGCGTGGGCGCGACATCAGCACTGGCACTGCCGACCTCGAGCCAAGCCCAAGCCCAGCCCAGTAATCAACACTACAGTAATCTATCAAGGCAGATCTATGCGGAGCTCTTTGTTGGCATGTTCTTGCTCCTACAACTACGACTAGAACGACCATACGACTAGTATAACTTCTTCTACTGCTACCACTACGACTACTAATACTACTTCTACCCGTGTTGCTAGTCGTTTACTTCTTTGAGATACTCGTGTTCTTCGTCTTGCTGGTTTGAGTGCACCGGAACTAAGCAACAGTAGATCGAGAAGTCGAGCAATTGCAACACCAAGAGGTATATTTGCCATTGTTGATCCGAGACGGACAGTGTTGTTCAAGGCTTCAGAAATGGCATTGGGTCCGTTCCAGGTTAAGTTAGTGGGCTGTACGAAATTCGCCGGGCTCCTTGCTTGGTTGTATGACAGGAACGGCTTGTCTGGTATAGCAGCTTGGAGGTCCTATGTAAGTGTTCGTGGTTCCCTGGCGCTGCTTGATTTTATAGGTCTATATGGAGTCGGGGTCTAGAGTTTTAGGATTTGTGATTTCTACAGTTATTGTGTCATGCTGGCGAATCTATATCGGGGCTTCTCTGGGGTTTGGATTCCTACAAAACCCTGTGTAGACCTTGGGCAGAACTACAACTATGTAAGCATACATACATGCATGCATGCATACGTACAAGTGCTTCTGCCGGGCTGTATTGTTTGAGTTCGAAGATCGTGCAACAGATGGAGCACACGAATAATCAGTCCCCGGCGTCTCTGAGTTGCTAGGTTATAGTCTTGGTGCACGAAACTACACTATGCCTTATCTGCAGAATCGCAAAGCGCAATTCCATATAAAGCTGCCTGCAGGAGAACGGAAACACCAGGAGCTCGAAGCCAGCTTCCAGCAAGGACCTTGCTGCAATTGATTATATACTTAGAAACACTGCTTAATCGTGTGTCCATAGGACCCAGTGGCCTCTGAGACACCGGGGCATGCCAAGCCCAAGAAGGCTCGTGAAGTTGCTATATATGATTGGCTTTTCAATTCTGGGAGACTTCATGATGCTTGCAGGTTCGTTCGGAGGATGAGAAGCGGGTTGCTGCCCTGGATGCTGGTCTCAGGCGGGTTTGCACGCCCAAGGCCAAGACTGGCAAGCTGGAGGTGGCCCCAGAAATCTACCAGCAGTGGAAGAAGGGGGGCATGGAACGAAAGCTGCTTCTTGATCAGTTCATTGCAGCCGGTGCCAACAAGGACTGATACTCACCTGCTATCTGATTATGCTTCTACAACGATAGATCACGATCCCTGAAAGGCAGCCTTCATCAAGCGCATCGAGCACATCCGGTCCAGGTCCCGGACCAGCACGCTGACCGTCAAGAGCGGTTGGTACTCGAAGGATGCCATGAAGAAGATCCGGGCCCCGCAGTTTGGCCTGCACCTGGCTTCTGTTGCTATCCCAGCTACTGGCTATACAGATTGCCAAAGTTTCAACTAAGGGACCGAATCAAGGATGTCGTTGCATACTGCTTGCAGAACCCCAAGGTTTTGGTGAGGCTCCATCCTCAGTCACGCCTTTGTTTCAGATTGGTGTTGCGCCACTCTTCGTTTCTATATTATGTTCGTGAAACTCTTGAGGCGGGACAAGTATCAGAAGAAGCTCAAGGAGTACTGGGTGGACGTTGCTACGGAGGGTGCCTTTCAGAAGTCCTCTGAGGAAACCTTCAAGGAAACCTTGATGGGGGAAGGGGAGGCTGATGATGTGACCGTCGGAGGGGTCAATCCAGGAGAACCCGTGGATGGCAGTTCGGGTGAGTCCTCTGCAGGGGAGGATGACTCGGAGGACGATGCTGACAGTGGTGCCGGGAGAGCCCGCAAAGCGGGCCGGGGCAAGGGTAACGGTGGCAAGACATCCATTGAGGAGGAGAAAGCCCTCGAGGTATATTGGCCCGTATAGATTCAGCTTAAATCGGGAAAGGGATTTCTCTCTACTATGCTCCCACTAAAACCGAATTAGTGTGATCCTATTCGAAACATATGGCATCTCGATTGCCACACCCTCATAAACTCGCGTACATAGAAACCCTTTACAAACTCTACAAACCTCAGAAACTTTTTGTATGTAAAAACTTGACACCTTGATCGAACTATCTATCTTTATCCCTATCTCTGTATCTGTATCTACAATATAGCGATGAATCTATCCAAACATAAGAAGCCTCCTTGAGACCCTATGAAACAACTTCTCAACCTATGAAAATGAAATCATTCGGGTAGGGTGCTTCAGTTAAACCAAGGGGGCCTGGGGTTTATATAATTATAGGGTTTATAGCACTCCTTTCCCAGATCAGATAAGTCTTGGATCCCAGGCGGTCGAGAATGTCGGCGCCGTGATGACCAATATCCTTCGCACGCAGGGGAAGATGGATGATCTGTGCAAAAAGCTAAGAGATTTGGGTTCGGAGGATGCCAAGAAGCACCTAGCCGAACATTGTGTGTGACAGTCATGGTAATTAGCCACAGCCCTGTTCGTTGATTGTGGGGTCACTATATTAAGGTCCGAAACAACGATTAAGAAGCACGTGGCCGAGATCATGAAGCTTCATGATCAGATGGCTGACGTGAAGTCGTACTTCGATGGACATGGTGCAATGAGCCCTGAGTGTCTTGGTGATCTGATCACTACACTTCCCACATGTATTTAGCCCAGAGAGTCACCCAAAAAACAGATCAAGCAAGGAAGACCAGTGAGCTTCAGAAGCTCGTGCAGGCTGTGGAAACTGCGCCCGGGCCCTACATGCTAATGCGACCAAACCTATTCCAAGCCATGATCTGTGATCCTCCCTTCAGGTGCAGCCGTGCTGTGATGGAGGATACGAAGCTCAAAAGGCTGGGGTCGTACATGTTTTTCAATCAGTCAGGAGGGGCATGAACACAATATTGTCCTACACCTAGAAACCCACTTGTGCCTCATCCAGGACTTTGCTTCGCCCGAAGACGAGTCAGACGAAGCCTCCACAGGTCGATGGGACCTGGCGGGTGCATTGCTCCCCTTGTATCCTTGAGCAGTATATGTTCGCTGCAGGAGGCTGTTCCTGCAAAGTCTGGAGGAAAGGGTCCTAGCTCCAAGGGCGGTGGCAAGAGCAAGGCTAAGGCTGCTCCGAAGAAGAAGTGATCAGGAGAGTCCTCGATGGGC